TATATGTAAAGGCTTATACATGCCCAGAACTTCTCCATAACAGTTCATGAGCATCGATTGTATTACGTGTGATGAAATAAACAGCTACGTTGAAGAAAAAGAGACATTATGGTTTCCATTGCTGATTCCCGATCATTATGCTATGAAATCCAGTAATGCTTTTATTCTTTGTTCAGAGTGGCTTTAGTCCATTTTGTACTATTTAACTTCAACATACATGACGGTATGACAGCTATTTTGAAGAGAACAAGAGACATTATGGCAGCCATTGTTGATTTTCCTATTGTCTGGTTTGAAGGCCTAGAAGGCCTTCATTATTATGTTGGGATCCGTTTTATACTATTTCATTTTGTATGAATTCATCGTGTGTGAAATATAGAAAACTATTTAGAAGAAAGCTACAGACATTATGGTAGCCCACTGGTGATGTCCTGTTGCTTTGCTTTGAAATCTGTGCCACTTAGATTGTTTTCTTCTGATCTGCTTTGTTCTGTTTTATTTTACCATCTTTAAATTTCTAAAAAATTTTTAAACATTCATTCCTAGAAGCTGACATTATTCTGATACAAAACAAGATAAACCTCCACACAGCAACTACAAAATGAAAACTACAGGCCAATCTCTTTATGAATATAGATACAAAATTCCTCAGAAAGATCCAGGAAACATGGTGTGTAATTATCCAAATGATCACATACCTTAATCAAGTTTGCATCCCACGGATAGAAGCATGTTTTGACCTATGCAAATCAATAAATGTAATACACTACATAAAGAGATATCAGGAAAAACATCACACAATCATCTCAGTAGATGCAGAAAAACCTTTGGCAAAATCCACCCATTTATATTAAAAATGCTGAAGAAAATAGCTATAACAGGACATTATCTCAATCTGATAAAAGCCATGAGGACAAGCCAACAGCCAGAATCATACTAAATAGAGAGCAACAATGAGGAAAAGTCCCACCAAAAGTCTCCAAGTAAAGTCAAAATATAGCAGGAAAATATAAAAAGTCAGTAGTGTTCTTGTAGACCGGTAATGAACCAATTCAGAAATGAATTAGGAAAATAATCCTGTATTCACAATAACATAAAGAAAACCTAAATACTTAAGACTGACCTAACCAAGGAAATGAAAGATATCTACAGTGAAAAGAATAGTACTCTGAACAAAAGGCATCGAAGGGGACACCAGGAAATGGACAGATATCCCACTCCTGGGTAAGCAGGGGTGATGTCATCAAAATGGCCGTACATACACCCATTTAATGCAACCTTGATGAAAATACCAACAGAACTCCTCACAGCACTAGAAAAAACAAACCTCAAAGTCATGTGGAATCAGAAGACACCTAGAATAGAAAATCCTGGGCAACAAAGACCAAAGCAAGAGACCTCAGCATGCCAGATTTCAAGGTATATTACAAAGCTACATGGATAGAAAGAGCATGGTAGTGGCATTAGAACAGATCTGTGAATCATTGGAACAGAATAAAAAATGTAGAAATGACCCCAGAGGGCCTTGGCACTCAGGAAGCAGGAGGATCCCCACAACTTCGAGGCCAGCCTGGCCTACATAGTCAGGTCAAGGCCAGGCTGAACTGCATAGTGAGAGCCTGTCTCAAAAAAAACAAACACACACAAACAAAAATAAAAAACAACTCCAGACACCTTCAGCCATCTGATGTTTGACAAAGGGGCCAAAAACATTCTGGAGGAAGACAGAGTCTTTAGCAAATGATTCTAGGAAAACTGGCTGTCCATGTGCAGAACATTGAGCATAGACTTGTGTATGTCACTAGGCACTAAACTATAATCAAAACACATCAGGTACATAAATATTAAAGCAGAATCACTTAACATGCTGGAGGACAAAATATGTACAACTCTTGAGGTCAGGGTTGTAGGCAAGGACTTGTTGAACAGAACCTAATGACATGAGAAATAACATCAAGAATTCACAAATGGGATCACATCAAATTAAAAAGCTTCTTCACACCCAAACAAACAACCAACAGAGTGCTGAGATAGCCTACAGGATGGCAAAAATATTCTGTCACCTATGTTTCCAATAGATGACCCATATCTGGTATATGTAAACCAAGAAAGAAATTAGATCTCCCAAAATCAAAGATCAAATCTGGGCAACTGACAGGAATAGACACGTCCCTGAAGAAGAAAGAAACCCAAAGTATACATCAATTAAAGAGCAAAACAAAAGATACAAGACAGGAAACAGGAATAGAGACCTTTGCAAATGAGAAGAGGGCCAATAAACGCAGAGAGGGGAAGGCGAGAGGAGCAGGGAGGCAAAGAGAATCAAGATGTGTCCCGCACAGGTACCATCGACCCATGATGGACGCAATCATTATGTATCAAAAACACACATTACTTCTTTTAAAGGTATCTGTATTTTGCTTCCAACCTGTCCAGGACCTGAGCGGCACCTGTGCTTTCATTCTTTAAGATCTTTTCGCTGGTCCTCCTGAGGAAAGAGCAGGCTTATCAACCAAATCATGTTTTGCAGGAGTTGCAGAGCCTGGCTGCCAGGGTTAGCAGTTACCCTTGTGTAGACTTAGGGTACTTTTAGGCCCCATCCCCTCGGATGAGACAGGGAAGGGAAGAGGCTGTCCTGAAGTGTCTGTGCCACTAACCTCAACTCTCAAGCTAAGAAGACCACGAGGTAACACAGTGCTCAGCCTGAGCTCCCGCCTCTGCTCACGACAGGTCACTGCGTGTCCTGTGGGCACCTCAGTTACTGATGCTTCCACCACAGGCTGGGCCTGCCCTTCTCCTGTCCAGTGCATGCCCATTCCTTGCTCACATGTTGCAAAGATACACCACACAAGCAGGCCATCGCATTTGTCTCCTAGCTGGCAACCAAAACAGAACGCTTATATTCAAATTCTCTATGCCAAACATCAGACCTTACTTTGTATTAATTTAAACTACCTTGTTATAATAGAGTTCAGATTTCACTGGCACCTTCACCTTCACTGTTAAACTTGGCAGGCTAAAGGCCGGCGTGCTAAAGGCTAAAGGTCACCCCCAGGGCCGTGCCAGGGGGAGGGGTAAACCTTGAAGAGGTGTGGCCTAGTGACAGATTTTGACTTCTTTCCATGTGTGGGGTGGTTTCTCTCTGCCACGTAGGCCCACCATGCTGTGCTGTTTTCCAGGGGCCAAAGCAGTAAGAACAACAGTGTAATGAATCCTGGACCGGAAGCTTGCAAACTGAGCCAGTGGATATCATTTCTGTATAACATCATCAGTATCCTACACATTTGCTATATTAGAAAAAACTTAATAGGGTAACCAAATACACATTTCTAAAACTAAACAGAAAAGGAATTGAGAAGGGAACCAAAGTGATAGACCACAAAACAAAACAAAACAAAAACAAAAACAAAAAAAACAAAGACAGGGACAATAATGGAGGAAATGAACAAAACTAATAAAGACATAAGATGTGAGAAACAAAGGTCACAGTAAATAAAAATCAATGGAATAAAATATGAAAGTCCAAGTCAGACACTGAAGAATGGTAACAAAGTAGGATCCAACTCTATGCTGTCACTGTGCACTTTAGAGTCTAAACTAGGAATAAGTGGAAAGTGGAAGGACAGAAAATACTGAAGAACACACCATTGAACAATTCTAGTAGGAGAATTCAATCCCAAAAATTCAGTCATAAATATATTAAGCAGCAAGCAGAGCAATAAAAAAAACTGGAATAAAACTCTAAAGTGGTTAGACCTCAGAGATATCTACTGTGCACCATTCAGGAGCCCTAACACAGGGCTTTTGTCCCAATTTTACATGAAACATTCCCTAAGTCCCATATATGAGGTCATGATCAGGATATTGTGAAAATCCCAAGTCATACAAAGTAGCTACTCTGACCACAGGGGATGAACCTGGGGTGCAGTACCCAGAAGTTCCACAGTGTTGGAAAGCTTTGACTTGACAGGAAGTATCTTCTCTAGGCAGGTGGAATGACAGGAGATGTTTCTAGCAAAGGAACAAGAAGAAAACAAAAGAACTCTGCTAAAACTAAGTAACACACCTAGAAAGGCTGGGCTCCTGGGCTCCTGGGCTCCTGGGCTCCTGGGCTCCTGGGCTCCTGGGCTCCTGGGCTCCTGGGCTCCTGGGCTCCTGGGCTCCTGGGCTCCTGGGCTCCTGGGCTCCTGGGCTCCTGGGCTCCTGGGCTCCTGGGCTCCTGGGCTCCTGGGCTCCTGGGCTCCTGGGCTCCTGGGCTCCTGGGCTCCTGGGCTCCTGGGCTCCTGGGCTCCTGGGCTCCTGGGCTCCTGGGCTCCTGGGCTCCTGGGCTCCTGGGCTCCTGGGCTCCTGGGCTCCTGGGCTCCTGGGCTCCTGGGCTCCTGGGCTCCTGGGCTCCTGGGCTCCTGGGCTCCTGGGCTCCTGGGCTCCTGGGCTCCTGGGCTCCTGGGCTCCTGGGCTCCTGGGCTCCTGGGCTCCTGGGCTCCTGGGCTCCTGGGCTCCTGGGCTCCTGGGCTCCTGGGCTCCTGGGCTCCTGGGCTCCTGGGCTCCTGGGCTCCTGGGCTCCTGGGCTCCTGGGCTCCTGGGCTCCTGGGCTCCTGGGCTCCTGGGCTCCTGGGCTCCTGGGCTCCTGGGCTCCTGGGCTCCTGGGCTCCTGGGCTCCTGGGCTCCTGGGCTCCTGGGCTCCTGGGCTCCTGGGCTCCTGGGCTCCTGGGCTCCTGGGCTCCTGGGCTCCTGGGCTCCTGGGCTCCTGGGCTCCTGGGCTCCTGGGCTCCTGGGCTCCTGGGCTCCTGGGCTCCTGGGCTCCTGGGCTCCTGGGCTCCTGGGCTCCTGGGCTCCTGGGCTCCTGGGCTCCTGGGCTCCTGGGCTCCTGGGCTCCTGGGCTCCTGGGCTCCTGGGCTCCTGGGCTCCTGGGCTCCTACCATCACTGACGCTGACAATGACAGCCCAGGAGCCCAGGAGCCCAGGAGCCCAGGAGCCCAGGAGCCCAGGCATGACTTTGTACTTGGCAAGTCTACACTGCAGAGGAAAGTCTTCGTGTTCCCTTGTACCACTAGACTGTGCTTTCTTGGCTTGTGCCTCAGAGGTGAGGAGTGTTCCCTGGGCTGAATCACATAGTCAGAGGTGGCTGGATCCTAGTAGCTGCCCTTCCCTGGTGAGGATGGAGACAGCCAGTGCTGGTTTGTCTGGGCATTAGCATTTGGAGGAAACTTAGATATTTGTACATAGCTTGTTTATATTTACATCTCTTTTCCCTACTTTGTCAATTTATTCAATAATTTTAATTATATCGATATGGACTCACGAGTTTTTGTGGTATTGATTTGGTGGCTCACTGAGCAGCATTGTGTGCAGAGGCCTTGAAGGCCAGCTTCCTCCTAACTTTGCCCCCTTGAGAAGCAGGAAGGCCAAGGTTAGAGGCCGGCTTGGGTGGGTGGTTTGAGGCAGCCTTGCTTCTCACATCCCTGGGTTCCCCAAGGCCCTGTCTCCTCACATTGAAGACATGCTCAGTACCCTAACTGTGGCTATAAGTTCTGGGTGCACCCATAGCTTCCCTTGGCTTGGCCCCTTGTTGAACCGGAAGCTGTCACCATCACTAAGCCTGAGCTCTAGCCAGGCTTTACCTTGGATAAGGGCTGAGCTTTACCTTGGAGAAAGGCCATCTGCTGTTCCAGACTTGGGTCAGAGCACTGGGCATGTAGGTGGCTGTGGCAGAGGCAGCTGCGATTGAAGTTCCAGAAGGGAAAAGAGCCTGGGTGACATTAGAAGCTGCCTGGGAGCTGTCCAAGATGCCTGAGGTCGTGTTTGTGAGACAGGATCCCCAAAGGCTGCCTGTGCTGGGCTACAGGAGGCTGGCTGACCTGAAACAGGAGGTGGGGCCAGGCCTAGAGCTGGAGCTGCCAGGCCCAGAAACGGAGACCATGGGTAGAGGTGGCTGCTCTGTGCTGCTGCACATCAGCGGCCCCCAGGGTGGGCAGGGTGCTAGAGGAACACTAAGAGCGCCGTTTATGTGGGGGCGCACCAACGCTCAAGCTCTGTCCTAGCCAGGAAGAGGCTGCCCTCTTGCTGCCCCTGGTCCGTGCCACATTCAGCTGTGCAGATGGGAAGGAGATCCCACTGGTGCCAGGGGGAGGCGCCGGAAAAAGAGAATTGTGTGGGGCTGCCACATATGCGGAGGTCGGCCCAAAGGTGGGCCACACCTGGGGACCAGAGCCCATGGCTATGGCTATGCTGCCACTGGGCGGTGCCACAGTCATCTGCACAGATGGGAAGGAGTTCCCACTGGTGCCAGCCGGAGCCCCCTGGGAAAGAAGATCAGGTGGAGGTGTGGTATCCATAGGCTCTACACCAGTGTCAGTCCCTGACTGGGGAGCAGAGGATGTGCCTGTGGCTGTACTGCCACTCGGTGGTGCCATAGTCATCTGTGCAGATGAAAAGGAGTTCCCACTGGTGCCAGTGGGTGCACCCTGGGGAAGAGGATCAGGTGGAGGTGTGGTATCCATTGGTTCTACACCAGTGTCAGTCCCTGTCTGCGGAGCAGAGGATGTGCCTGTGGCTGTGCTGCCCCTGGGTGGTGCCATAGACATCTGTACAGATGGAAAGGAGTTCCCACTGGTGCCAGCAGGAGCCCCCTGGGGAAGAGGATCAGCTGGAGGTGTGGTATCCATAGGTTCTACTCCGGTGTCAGTCCCTGTCTGGGGAGCAGAGGATGTGCCTGTGGCTGTGCTGCCACTGGGTGGTGCCACAGTCACCTGTGCAGAGGGGAAGTAGTTCACATTGGTGCCAGTGGGAGGCCCAGGAATAAGAGAATTGTGTGGGGGTGTGATATATATAGGTGTTGCCCCAAAGCTGTGCCCCATCTGGGGCCCAGAGCCCATGGCTATAGCTGTACTGCCACTGGGTGGTGCCACACTAATCTGTGTAGATGGGAAGGAGTTCCCACTGGTGCCAGTGGGAGGCCCCGGAGGAGGAGCATTGTGTGGGGGTGTGACGTATATAGAGGACGGCCCAAAGCTGGGCACCACCTGGGGACCAGAGCCCATGGCTATAGCTGTACTGCCACTGGGCGGTGCCACAGTCATCTGTGTAGATGGGAAGGAGTTCCCACTGGTGTTAGTGGGAGGCCCCGGAAGAGGAGCATTGTGTGGAGGTATGACGTATATGGAGGACGGCCCAAAGCTAGGCATCACCTGGGGACCAGAGCCCATGGCTATGACTGTACTGCCACTGGGCGGTGCCACAGTCATCTGTGCAGATGGAAAGGAGTTCCCACTGGTGCCATTGGGAGGCACCGGAAGAAGAGAATTGTGTGGGGCTGTCACATATGTAGAGGTCGGCCCAAAGCTGGGCACCACCTGGGGACCAGATCCCATGGCTATGGCTGTACTGCCACTGGGCGGTGCCACAGTCATCTGTGTAGATGGGAAGGAGTTCCCACTGGTGCCAGTGGGAGGCCCCGGAGGAGGAGCATTGTGTGGGGGTGTGACGTATATATAGGACGGCCCAAAGCTGTGCACCACCTGGGGACCAGAGCCCATGGCTATGACTGTACTGCCACTGGGCAGTGCCACAGTCATCTGTGTAGATGGAAAGGAGTTCCCACTGGTGCCAGGGGGAGGCGCCGGAAGAAGAGAATTGTGTGGGGCTGTCACATATGCAGAGGTCGGCCCAAAGCTGGGCACCACCTGGGGACCAGATCCCATGGCTATAGCTGTACTGCCACTGGGCGGTGCTACAGTCATCTGTGTAGATGGGAAGGAGTTCCCACTGGTGTGAGCGGGAGCCCCCTGGGAAAGAGGATCAGGTGGGGGTGTGGTATCCATAGGTTCTACACCGGTGTCAGCCCCTGACTGGGGAGCAGAGGATGTGCCTGTGGCTGTGCTGCCACTGGATGGTGCCACAGTCATCTGTGCAGATGGGAAGGAGCTCCCATTGGTGCCAGCGCGTGTACCCCGGGGAAGAGGATCAGGTGGGGGTGTCGTATCCATATGTTCTACACCAGTGTCAGTTCCTGACTGGGGACCGGAGCCCATGGCTATGGCTGTGCTGCCAAGGGGCAGTGTCACAGTTGGCTGTGCAGAGAGGAGGGAGCTGCCACTGGTGTCAGGGGCCAGAGGCCCAGAAAGGAGAGGATCAGGTGGAGGTGTGATGTCCATTGGAAGCTCTATTCTGTTAGTGTCTGTGTGTACAGCAGAGGCTGTAGCTGTGGCTGGAGATGTCAGTGTCTTCCCAGAGCCCAGGAAGGGCTTCTCCCTTCTGTTCTTACTCTTCCCTGCAGGCACAGTGGATGGAGGTCCAGTCCCTGGGGCAGCCATGGGAGCAGAGCCCAAAGGCTCCATGCATTTGTTATCTTTGGGGGCCTTCTTTCTGTTCTTACCTTTCCCTGCTGGAATGGTGTCTGGAGGAGCAGTCCCTGGGGCAGCCAGGGGAGCAGAGCCTAAAGGCTCCCTGCTTGTCTTCTCTTTGGGGGCCTTCTTTCTGTTCTTACCTTTCCCTGCTGGAATGGTGTCTAGAGGAGCAGTCCCTGGGGCAGCCAGGGGAGCAAGAGAGAAAAGCCCTGAGAGGTCAAAGACCTCGGGGGACTTGTCCCTTTTGTTCTTAACCTTCCCCACTGGATTGGTGTCTGGAAGATCAGTCTCTGAGGAAGCCAGAGGAGCACAGGAGAAAAGCCCTGAGAGGTCAAAGACCTCAGGGGACTTGTCCCTTTTGATCTTAACCTTCCCCACTGGATTGGTGTGTGGAACATCAGTCCCTGGGGCAGCCAGGGGAGCAGAGCAGGAAGGCTCTGTGGGGTCAAAGACCTCAGGGGCCTTCTCCCTTTTGTTCTTACCCTTCCCTGTTGGAATGGTGTCTGGAGGAGCAGTCCCTGGGGCAGCCAGGGGAGCAGAGCAGGAAAGTTGTGTGGGGTCCAAGACCTCAGGGGCCTTCTCCCTTTGTTTCTTACTCTTCCGTGTTGGAATAGTGTCTGGAGGAGCAGTCCCTGGGGCAGCCAGGGGAGCAGAGCAGGAAAGCTGTGTGGGGTCAAAGACCTCAGGGGCCTTCTCCCTTTGGTTCATACTCTTCCGTGTTGGAATGGTGTCTGGAGGAGCTGTCCCTGGGGCAGCCAGGGGAGCAGAGCAGAAAAGCTGTGTGTGGTCAAAGACCTCAGGGGCCTTCTCCCTTTTGTTCTTTCTCTTCCCTGTTGGAATGGTGTCTGGAGGAGCTGTCCCTGGGGCAGCCAGGGGAGCAGAGCAGAAAAGCTGTGTGGGGTCAAAGACCTCAGGGGCCTTCTCCCTTTTGTTCTTTCTCTTCCCTGTTGGAATGGTGTCTGGAGGAGCTGTCCCTGGGGCAGCCAGGGGAGCAGAGCAGAAAAGCTGTGTGGGGTCAAAGACCTCAGGGGCCTTCTCCCTTTTCTTCTTACCTGTCATAACCTTCCCTGTTGGAATGGTGTCTGGAGGAGCTGTCCCTGGAGTAGCCAGGGGAGCAGAGCAGAAAAGCTGTGTGGGGTCAAAGACCTCAGGGGCCTTCTCCCTTTTCTTCTTACCTGTCATAACCTTCCCTGTTGGAATGGTGTCTGGAGGAGCTGTCCCTGGAGTAGCCAGGGGAGCAGAGCAGAAAAGCTGTGTGGGGTCAAAGACCTCAGGGGCCTTCTCCCTTTTCTTCTTACCTGTCATAACCTTCCCTGTTGGAATGGTGTCTGGAGGAGCTGTCCCTGGAGTAGCCAGGGGAGCAGAGCAGAAAAGCTGTGTGTGGTCAAAGACCTCAGGGGCCTTCTCCCTTTTCTTCTTACCCTTCCCTGTTGGAATGGTGTGTGGAGGCGCTGTCCCTGGGACAGCCAGGGGAGAAGAGCAGGAAGGCTCTGTGGCATCAAAGATCTTAGGGGCCCTTTCTATTCTTAGGGCCCTCTTTCTGTTCTTACCTTTCCCTGCAGGGATGATGGGTGGATCAGTGCCTGGCAGAGGCTGGGAAGCAGAGCAGGAAGGCTGAGGGCTACTGGTGAGGGTGGAGTCCTGCTGCTTTCTGTGGTTACTCTCCCCCGCAGAGATCAAGGGTTCAGGAGCAGTACCTGGGGCAGGCAGGGGAAGAGGGCAGACAGGCTGTGTGGTGCTGCTGATGTCTAGGGTCTGCAACTTACCCATCAGCCTGGCATTCAGAAGTTGGAATGCTGCCTCCTTCTCCTGATCTATGTGCTCCGCGGTGATCTTATAGCTTAGTTCTGGAGGTGGTGGCAGCCTGAAGGGTGGCCCTTGGCGACGCCTCAGGAGAGGGATCTTTCTTCTTCCTAGGCCAGCACCCTCTGGTGTCAGCTCGTGGTCCTTTCTGGTTTCTTCGTGTCTGGATGGTGTGTCTGCCACCACCTCGTTCCCGGTCTTGAGGGGAACTTGGGGGGCCGAACACGGTTGCTGGAGGCTGTCCTGCCTGGCCGCCTTCAGATCTTTGGTGGAGCCCGGGGGCGGCCTGATGTGCGAGGGGGCTGCAGCCCTCCTGCGCTGTCCAGGCAGCCCCCCGGTGGAGCTGTAGGAGCTGCTGATGGCATCTCGCTTGGTGGAGCTCACACAGGAGGGCTGGGGGGAGGGGGCAGCTGGAGCTCTGGCGCTCTGCCTGCGGTGGTCTGTGCTCAGAGGCCCAGGCCTGGGGACATAAGGCACCTGGCCTCGCCGGCCTACCACGGGCCTGAAGGCGGACGGGGGCCTCGCAGCCTCCTGGGCGGCCCTCCTCTGCTGAGCCTCCTGCTTCAAGAGCCAAATGCCCAAGCAGTCCCTGCGGGAGGACCTAAGGCTGCTGCTGTGGCGTGTCTGAAAATCCTCTGCGGGAAGCACTGGCTTCCCCAGAAGAGAGCCTACCTGTTGGCCCATGGGCCCCAAGGGCCGCAAGGGCCGCAAGGGCCTCAAGGGCCTCAAGGGCCAAAAGGGCCTGCAGGTAGGGGAACAGTGCTCCGGGCACTCTTGCCCAGAGCACTGAGGTCAAGCCCGGGATGCCTGATGCCTGATGCCAGACGTCAGGACTGGATCCGCGGGCACACTGGCTAAGCAGGATGCGCCCACCCAGGGCTCTGGGCAGGTGCAGAGAGGGGCCCACAAAGGTGGGCCCTTGGGGCAAGTTCCTGCCCCCGCGGGCAGGGAGCAGGGCTGCGGGGCAAAGCTAGCCCCGCCGCACTGCTCCCCGGAACTATTGGGGAACGGGGGGGGGGGGGGTACTTCTATCCCAGACCTTGGCAGAGCGCACTGCTTGAAGCAGCCAACTGCTCTGCCGCCTGAACCGCAATGCTTTGTTGCTGGGACGCGGCTTCGCAGCTCGAGACCAAAAACCGCCCCGCAGGCGGATGCTCAAGCCCGCATGCCCGCGTGCACAAACGGTCAAAAGCCGCGCGGCGCGTTTGCAACATTTTGTAACTTGCCCGGGAGGGCGGTCCCTCTGCCTCTCTGCAGCAAGATGGGGACACAGTCCCTTGAGGGCCCTGATGCAGAGCCCTGGGGATGTCACATGTGGGCCCTGATCCTAGGAGGATGGACTAGGGGAGCAGGGTTCCTGCCTGAGCCCCGCCTGGGACACTTGAAAGCTTTGGCATCAGGCTTTTGCATCTTCCTGCTCTTGCCCTGTGTGTGAACTGAGGAGGAGAGTAACCAGCCTCTGGTATCCAAACAGGCAGCATTCCTTTCCTCCTCTTTGATTCCTGAAGTTACACCCTGCCTGTTCCTGCCTTTTACCCTCAACCTGAAGAAAATCCCTTCGTGTGTTTCTGTAGCAAGCCTTCTAGTAACAGATTCTCTTGAGGTTTTCTCCCCTCCTTTAACCTTCCTATTTATTTATTTTCATTTGGGCCCCAGAACTTACATCACACACACACACACAGTGCCTGGGGGGCCTTTTCTTTCGGCCCTGCAAGGTGTTCTCTCAGTCTCTTGTGGCTGGTGTGTTTTCCATGGGAAGTTTTAAATTGACATTTCCGTGTATTGGACCTGTTATTTTCTCTGAGTATTTTGCAGAATTGTCTTTATGCTTGTGTACTGAGTTGAGCGTGTCTTGGGTGAGACTTTTCCCAGCATCTTAGATGTGTTTTCCATGAATTGTGACCTATCTCCTACTTTATCCTGTATCTCTCTTGTTCCTCAACTCCTCCTTTACCCATGAGGATGATAAGATGTTAAAATGTTTTATGTTGCTTTGCATGTCTCTGAGACTCTTAACTGTTTTGTTCTTTTTTCTTTCTCTTTGCTTTTAGATTGGCATTTTAATGCCCCGCAGAGTGTTGGACTCTTTGTTCTTTTTCTGATGGAAGCTTATTTATTTCCATTAAATGAATTCCATTGATGTCATATTCCATTCATGTCAAGGATTATTGGCCTTTCTCTCTCTCTCTCTCTCTCTCTCTCTCTCTCTCTCTCTCTCTCTCTCTCTGTCTATGAGAATGGTTGTTTCTAGTGTTGTAGGGGAAACTGAGCCAACAGTAACCAGGAGCTCAGGAGAAGCAAGGAAATTTAGTGATCTCCAGGGGAGTCATCCTCAAAGTCTGAGGGGGTGATTGCATAGAGCTTGTCTTTTGTATAGAGTGGCAAACACACGTTGCAGGGGACAGTTGCAAGCTTTTAGCTGAAGGTTGTGGTACAATGGCTATCTTGTGGTGAACATAGTTGTGTGTAGCAAAGTTGTCACCACGTACCCAGGGCTTTCAGTTGATGAAATCATATGATTTAGCTGAGTTCCGTGGCTGAGAACAGAATGGCTTTACCTTTGCTTAACAAAGTGTCTACAGTTTGATCAGGCTTTCTGCTTTCATGGTAGGTGTTTTCCATGATCCTTCCTTTAAGTGGGTTGTTTCAGGGCTGGATATTGCCCTTTCCCTTGAGGATTGGTCAGATGGTCTCAATTTTCCATATGTACTATTGCTTAGTTTTGGATAGTGCCCTGGACAGTTTGCTGGTTGATTTAGGAGACTCTGGTTCCTATTAAAATCCTCAGGCAAGCAATGGTTTCTCTTGTTCTGTTGTTCTGCAAAGCTGTCAAGGCAGCAGGGTCAGACTGCATCCTGCATTTGCTTTGCAGGGTCCAGGTTGTGCTCAGGCCACAGTGCCCCACCCCCAGCCCCGGTGGTCTACTGGATGCCTGGTGGTTGATAGCTCAGTCGCTTCCCAAAGCCTTTGCCTTGCTTCTTTGGAACTATTCTGTGCAAGCCGCTCAGTGTGAGCCTAGACCTTGTGCTGGCTCTTACACAGACTTCAGTGATTTCTTTCTGCAGCTCTCTCCTCTTTAAAATGCCGTTTACATTTTCCTGCCACAAGAAGAGAACTTCCCCAGGGCAGGTCAACCCTCAGGCCATCAGCAACAGCAATAGAGTACAAACATAGTGGCAATTTCCCTCATTCTCTTCATACAGCAGAAGTCACTGCCTGTTCCTTTGTGGGCACAGGTCATTTGTTGGGGCTTTAGGTCCCTCTGCCTCTCTTGAGACTGCTGGACATCTTTGTAACCGGTGAGGAAAAAAAACGCACAAAAGTGGGGTGGGGATGTCTCTTTAAGCCTCAGATGCACCCCCAGCCCCGAGCAGAAGTCCACACTTCTCTGGATACAAACAAGGATTGGGGTCCAGAATTTATTCTTTCAGTGATTACTGGAATTTACTTTCCCTAGACAAAGCTGGAAGACACAGAAGGAGAAACTCAACATGGAACAGCCCATTATGGGCTGTTGTTCTCCTTTGGATGCCAGTCCCCATTTGCCTGGTACTGCATGCTTGCAGCATTTTGAAGTACAGTACATGCTTTCTGCCTGTGTCTGGTTCCAGTGGTAATTTGTGTGGGAGAGAAGTTATCTGGGGCTTCCCATCTTTCCCTAACAAAGTTCTATGGCTACTAAATTAATTTGAAAGAAATGTGCTTGCATTGTTACCTATGATAGAGTTCCCTTCTTTTTAGTGGCAGAATACTTTTGAATTGTAGGAATCGTATGGCCTGGTTTTTATCCATTGCAATAGTAACGTTTATGTTGCTTCTACATCTTGTTTGTTATGGAAAGTGTTGCTGTGAACATGGGAGCGCAGATGGTTTCACTCCTGGTTTCTGTTGTTTTGCAGAAGAACCCAGAAAGGTTAGTGAAGTAGAGCAATCACAGAAGGACACATACTACACAATTTTCTTTATATGAGATGCTTAAAATATAGCAACCTTTCAAGGAGGCAGTAGAATGGTGATTTCCAGGGTCTGAGGATGAGGGGAATGTGCGTTGCTGGGCTTTTGGTATCGAAGGTGTATGAATTCTGTACTTCTGTTACAACAGTGTGCCTATAGGTAATAAAATTGTAATAATGTGTGTAGAAATTTTGTAGAAGTGCAGATTTCACATTGTCTATCATAATGAAAAAGCAGCGTTAGGCAGTTTTGACTGACAACCAAAGATTTAAGGCTATAAAATTGAAGGATTGATTCACTGAATAAATATCAAAGTCTATAATCAGGCAATTTCCAAGAAATGAAAGCTAGAATTATTTCACAACAAATGAGTATCTCACAAAATATGTGCATATAAGTGCACATGAGAGATGTGCATATCTATTTTACTATAATCCTAGTATATTGAGATGTTCTAACTTTCCTATAAAACTAAAGTCGCCTGGTTTGTAATTTTCTTTATTGTTCTATAATTTTGTGAGTGGAGGTATTATTGGTAATAAAGCAGGAAACAGTCGTGGTTTTTGATGCAGCCTTCCTTGCTATTTCCTTTAGGTGTTTCATTCCTTGACTTAAAGAAACTGAACAGTAGAAGAAAGAACACTGGGTGGCAGATGGGGCCACAATGAAGTACAGGAGGAGGTGTCCCTGCAAAGTCAGCATCAGCCCCAGATCACCCTACAGGCCGCTCTTGGTATGAAATCCGCTTGAATTAGTGATAGGTTTCACTCATGGGGAGCCTGCCAGACCTCACGTGGTGCCTGCCCAACCTGGTGCTGGACCCTAACATGACAGCGTGTCCCTCTAATATTGATTTCTGTGTTCTTCTTCCGAACTCCAGTTGACCTTTTTGCTTTTCGTGCATGTGCCAGCATCTCCCCCATCAGCTGTCAGTAGGTCTTTCTGCCCGCCTCTTCAAACACCATCCCCTGTCAAACCTAATCAAAGCGCCATGGCTTCTTTGTTTGCCTCAGAGGGATCTTGCACTCTTTGGCAGCTCTCCCATGCCCACTGATAAGGCCTTTTTTCTTTTCTGCCTTTGTTTCTCTGCTGAACCAAAAAGCCCCAACAATTAACATGCTCAGTTCTGGAAAAATAACAAGTCTCATCCAGTGCAGGTGAATGCAGTCAAGAACATTGTTTTCATTGCACAGCATTAGTGCTTAAGGAGTGTGAGCAAGGCAGAAGAATATGGTGCATTATATAGTATCTCTCCCTCCTCTTGATATAGAAATAGAAATGAAAGGGCCAGGGATTTAGCTCAGTGGCATGAGTGCCTGCGTGGCAAGCATGAGGCTGTGAGTTCCATCTCCAGTACCAAAAATAAATACAATAAAAAGCAAGAAAGAAAAGGAATAGAAATTCAGTGAACGTGGCTTTTTTCACTTAGTAATGGACCTGTTTTTGTTAGTCATGGAGTTTTCAGTCCCTCTGTGCCTCCTTATCTTGATCTGTCCTGCCCCAGCTCAGCATGTAACACTTCATTTGTAGTAGTCAAGAAGTAATGAGTGAAGGAGGTATAGAAATAAATGAAGGGGATCGTGTAACACATGGTCATTTCTTTCATTTTTATTCATAGAAAGAATGAACTCTAAGACACAAGAAAGGTGATGTGAAACATTGTCTGACAATCAATGAAAACAGTGGTGTGGTTTCTTGGGTAAGTGCATTTTGAAGTTTCTAGAGGAAATAAAAACTACATTTTCGATTTGAATCAGTTAGAATGCTCTTGAATTTCTTTTAAAAATTCATTTAAAATGGGGACCATTTTGCCATAT